TGATCTAAAGTGGGCTACTCATATTTCCGAAATAACTTCAAAGGCAAATAGGACACTTGGACTAGTGAAGAGAACATGTGTGGATCTAAAGGACTTAAAGACCAGAAGGTTACTTTACTGTACATTAGTTCGCCCATTATTAGAGTATGGAAGTGAATTATGGTCTCCCTATGAAAAAAAATACACTGCACTAATTGAAAATGTCCAACGTAGAGCCACCAAATTTATACTAAACTATCCAAAGGACACTGATTACAAAAGTAGAATGATTATGCTCGATCTCCTTCCACTTGAGTCTCGTCGGCAAATGAAGGACTTAATATTTCTCTTTAAACTCAAGAATGGGTTATATAGTCTTGACTTTGAGGAATATGCCGAGAATGTTCAGATGAAGCCTCAATCTGGTTATAATTTAAGAAATTCTCATCAAGATAATTTTTCTGAATTTAGGTATAGAACAAACTATTTTGGTTATTCATATTTTCCTAGAGCTATACGCTCATGGAACAGTCTACCTCCTACTTTAAAAACTATTGCAAGAATAAGTACTTTTAAAACTGCATTAAAGGAACTCTACTCTTTGAGATTGGTAGATAGTAGTGACTTTTAACTTAGCTGAAATTATATAGTATTGACAATGTAGTGTTGTATTTAATTAATGGCATGTTATGTATGTATGTATAGTTAAATGGTAGCTGTAATCAATTGGGACTATGTCCCTTGCGGCCACCTTTTGCCAATGTAAATATTTTATTTTTGCAAAAAAGTGATTAAAAAAAAAAAAAAAAAAAAATAAATTGACTCATTGTATAGTCTACTTAATTTTTATATATTTTACATATTGTAATATAGTAATTTAGTGTGTTTTAACTTGTTTTTAAAACTGTAAAACTTCTGCAATTCAGTGTATGCTGCCATGGAAGTTCAAATAAACTATCTATGTATCTTCTTTACATACGGACTTAACCTCCACTTTAACAATTCAGTATTTAAACTTTTATTGTAATTTTACTTGTTAGATAGTTCAACCGGTCCAAACGTTTCGGTTTCGGTGAACCGCAACTTCTAATTTGCTCATCAGCTAGTTACTAGTACCAAACAAATTTTCCGCCTTTATAACATCAAAAAATTGTATTGTTTTAGCAATTTTCCTCCTTCGCTCGCTTAAAAATTCAAGACACTGAAAAAGCATGCGCGCGTAATGTCACCGTGTACATGTTAGGAGAATTTCAACGTCGATCTTTGAGTAAATTTTTTTCATATGTAATATCTTCTACTTATATTATACAATAAATAGAAAAACTCGTCTCGTGCGTTTATAGTGCAATAATGCACCCGGGGAATGTTAGAGGAGTGTCAAACACTCGCCTAGTGTTTTACACGCTTCTTTTGCATTCTCCTAAAATTCCTCGCGTGTATTATCACACTTGAAACGCACGCGACTCGTTTTCTATTTCTTAAGTAATGACGGCAACAACAGTAACCACAGCAGAGTCACTACAGTGAAACAATGGTCACATTTAGTATGGTACACTATGTGCAGTTACATGTACACTTATAGCGTACTTATTTTTGTAATATTTTATATTTTTTTGACACTAAGAAAACTGATAATCGCATAAAATGCATTATGTATTTCTATTTTCTAGTGATTTATTCGTACATTTTGTTCTTTTGTTTCGATAATGTCAATTTGAACTTCTTCTCCACAGATAATTGAGCACACACAAGTCTATTAACTCCTCGATAAAATGGTCGATACGAAACGTATACTTCTTTCTCATTATCCCATCAAATTTCTCAGAAAATTAGGAAAATTTGTATTATGTTTTGATTTGTTTCTTAATAATTTCAACAAAATAAGTCTGTTTACTGTTCCCTGTTTGAAATTTTCAGACCGTTTTCAATTGGTTGTTCTTCATCTATCTCCAATATTACGTCATATTTTCAATCAGCTCTTAACTCACAAGTTTGTTATAATTTCAACTGAGTATTGTAGTGTGGCCTTCGGAATCTTATAGGATTTTTCCACGTTAATATGATGGATTATTATTGTATTTTATTGTATTTTATTTGAGCATACTATATTAGTTTTCCTTTATATCTATATATAAGACATGAAATAAATATGTGTCCATTTTATTTCAAAACGTCGGTTGATTTGTTGATATGCCAAAAAGCTATCTGATTTAGTCCTGTTTTAATTTCTTGTTTGGAATCCTTCCGGCTATAGCTTTTGATACAACGAATATTTAATCAACTCTTGCGTCCAGATGAATATTGTGTGTACTGACAGTTAGGAAACCGTGCATGATGCTGGGCAATAAAATTAAAACCTAAAGGGTATTAAAATCCTACCTAATCTCTCCTTTGGCAGCTCTCCTTATTTTATTTGTATTATCTTTTCACAGATAAGTCTCTAAGGTTACAAGGGCCATTAATGGGAAATGGCATTGGTCGTGTGGAAGTTTTCCACAACGGACAATGGGGAACAATTTGCGATGACAGTTGGGATATAAATGATGCTAGGGTTGTATGTCGTCTTCTTGGATATACAGATGGCGTTCGAGCACTTGGAGGAAGTAATGTTCCAGATGGTACAGGACAAATATGGTTAGATGATGTCGCTTGCATCGGGACTGAACGAAGCCTGTCCAGTTGTTCTCATAGCGGCTGGGGCAATCATAATTGTGTGCACAGTGAAGACGCTGGAGTTGAATGTTCATCAACAGGTAATATTGAGGCAGATTTACACAACAAGCGTTTTGGACACGGCACCCCTGAAAATGGGCACCGTGCCAAAACTCCCACTTTTTGTAGACACACTTTTATGATAAGCACCGCGTCCATCGGAAAACGGCACCTCTACACTGTAAATTACAAAGGGCTGAAACGACCACAAAAATGGGGCCAAAACGGTGACCGCAAAATAGATCTTTTTGGTGGGTCAAAATGGCACCTATAACAATTCGGCCTCTAAGGGGTGATTTGGCCCTTCCAGTGTAAGGGCTATTGCAGCTTTTAGTAGGAGCTGTTTTGGCAAAAGCAGAGGCTATTTCAACTTTCAATAGGGGTCAATTCAGAAAGTTAGGGGGCTATTTTGGCATTTCGAGGAGTTATTTTGGCTCCCATTTGTGGTCATAATGAACCTCAAAAAGCGTTGATTTGGCTCGCTAACCGGAGCTGTTTTGGCTACTGAGTTGCAGAGTAGTTTCAGCCCCAAAGAAGAGCTGTTTTAGAGCCGAAGGAGCTAATATAGCTTTTTTCATGGTGTAGTTTGTAGCACCCAAAGGGTCAATTTGGTTCAATTTCAGAGCCATTATAGATCCAAAAGAGAAGTCAATTTAACCCCTACTTTGTTAACCGGAGCTGTTCTGGCCCTTTCAGAGGAGAGCAGTCTCAGCCCCAATGAAAAGGTGCTTTAGAACCAATTGAGCTGATATAGCTTTTTGGTGGTGCCATTTTATATAGCATTTAAAGTCATGTGGATTTGGTTGCACTCTTGCATGTAGACGTATTCTACATGTATATAATGAATCAGGCAAAAATATTGGGGTATATTTGGTCTTTATTAAATTATTACAATTTCTCTAACAGACCAAGATTGGAATGAATTATTGTAATATAAGTTGAGATAAATAATGTTCCAATTTCTGTATTATAAACACAATACTATAACTAAAATTACAATATACATGCACAGTAGTCAGTATTATGGATCTCACCGAAATGTGGAAACCATCAAAAGTTTCGTACATATAAGCCATACGGCTCCGAAAGTTTACAATTCTAATTTTAAAGAGCAATCAACATGTGATAGCAATAGCAGGCGCGGTTGTTAACGTGTACGCAATACGAATAATTTCTAATACATTACCACAGTTCGGCGAGATGTGAGACAATACACACATTCCATCAATAGCATTAACTTGGGTTAGCATATGTCAACATAACTCTCAAAAAGTGTAAAATTACTGTAGTACTAACATACATGAGTCATGACAAGTCATTGAAGAGGACTGTGAGTCTGTGACCCTCATTGGCAGTTGTATGCCATTTTCTGTATTGCCCATGCACTAATATAGTCTGCAAGGCAGACAAGACGCTCTTTGTGTGGCAGTACTCAATATTGAAGATGTAAAAACTTGCCAATAAGGCGATAATTGCATCAGAAGGACTGTTGCTTGTTATGGAACTTTCATCCTTTCCCTCGATAACGTATGATTTACAGTTTCTAGTCGTATTCTAGTTCGCTGCCAACGGCCACAATATGGGTTGTGATAAGTTTGAAATTGTATCATTTGCATCTTCGGACTCCTACAAAAAAAATACAATTAGAATGTATGCAATAATCCGTAATTACAGAGAGTTATAGGACACATAATACATAAGGTCTCACCAAGAAACCCAATAATAAAGCTCTTACATACATCACACAAAATACCTGAAAAAGTATGTCACACCCGACCCCTATAACCCTTCCAAAAGCATTAAGTATAACATACCAATATACAGTAATATTTTGAAATATCAAAATATATGCTGTCTCGCAACAAACTCTCCTAAAAATAAGCTCACTATAAGCACACAAATATTATTCAAATTTACAGTACACTGCATCATAAGAATAATAAATACAAAATTGGAAACATGAATTTCCATAGCCGGGTACAAGTGATTCAGGGAGACTGAATAAAAACATAATACATGATATACATATAAATATACGATCTTATTTAACCCATTAAGCACCAGGGCTCTCCCCTTTACGAATAGAATAGACGTTGGACAGAGTAGAGTAATAAAGTTCAAAATCATTTTGTTTGAATTACTTCACCTATCTATTTGTTTAAAATTATGTATGGCAGATTTTGTGGTATGAACACTTGCAAAATTACTCAAAAACATTTAAAAAATAATGTGACATTATGTTGCCTTGACAACACTTGACACAACGTGAGCCTGCGTTCAGTGCTGGCCAATTCCTAATAGATCCTGTTAAATCAATGTTTGGAAAATATAGGCTAGAGGTTGCTGCATGCATTTATTTCTAGTTAAATATTAATTGGACATACTCCTGTCACTAGTGGTATTCTTTATATCTTGGTCAGACAAAACAAATTCCATATTTAAGAAGTTTGGCAACCCACAGGTTAAAATAGACATGTCTTGTGAATTATATCACAAACGATTAATAAATTTTCGCTGCAGCAAGCACAGATTCACCAGAAACATGTAACCTCATGAGTTTACACACGCCAAAACAACACTTTCATAAAATGACAGCTTTCCTTCATCATTTAATTTTATAACTGGACTTAGCTGATCTGTTCTTATAGTTTTTATATTTTTAGACTTTTTGTTATTCAAGTTTGAAACGAGACCAAGATTGGTAGCATTTAATTTTGACAATTTAAGAGAATGTAGTTCTGCATTACTGTTTTTCTCTGTATCTCATCCTTAATAAGCCTACCATTTTTAAATTTGAAATGTACAACAGATACTTTGGGCTATTTATTCCTTTTCTTTCCTCTTCTATATATTAATAGTTTTTCTTTGGCAAATATCAGTAATCATATTTCTAATCTGTACAGTTCTGTTCCTACACGACATCTTCGCACCCACACATCGTGTTTAGGACTGAAGTTCCAGATCATGCAAATGCTCTGCCAACAGCCCTACGGGTTCCCAAAGAGTGTATAGCCCATGTATATCATAGTACAAACCATGATAGAAGTATAATTAAAATAATATATTTCCATTTCAAATGCATTTTTTTTTGCATTAATAACTAGGGAATTTTATGTAAAGTGCAATTCTACATTCTCTTCGATTGACTTGAATATGTTTATGGCTAGCATTTACTTGATGTATAACAAATCCACTAAGTTTCAATGGACATAGTCACATAGCATCTCCCTATTTGAAATAAGCCATAAGGCATTATATTTGGTATTTTAATATCTTAATTATTACAGAAATGATTGCACAAGTCATGAGTTTTGAAAAATGTTGATCTATATTTTCAATATTAACCCCATTAAGCATCAGCGTTCTCCTCTCGAGACAGAGTAAAAAAAAATAAAGTAGGCCGCAATGTGACTCAATGATGACAGAAATGAAGCAATGGGCGGAACGTTTATGCAGTATAGTTTTAGGTTGTGCAAATAAAGCAGCCAATACAGCCCATAATAAAGCCATAATACAGCCAATACAGCCATGAAAAATGTTCAAACCAATCTTTTGGCGTTAATATATTCAGACCAAAATATGTCGTGAAAATATCCAGACCAAAATATTGGCGTGAAAATATTCCGACCAAAATATTGACGTGAAAATATTCAGACCAAACTTTTAGTGTGAAAATAATCCGACCAAAATTATGGCATGAATATATTCAGACCACAATATTGGCGTGAAAATATTGAGACCATAATTTTGGCGTGAGAATATCCAGACCAAAAATATGGCGTGCGAATATTCAGACCAAAATGTAGGAGGCAACACTTGTCCGCCATTTTGAAAATAAACGTATATGCTAATTTATGGCACAACATACATTATCTGACGTCATTAGATGGGTAAACACAATTTCATGACTATAAACAGTACCGAGTATTACCACGCGTAGTGCACTTTGACATTCCTTGCTTTCGCAGGCGCTCGATATATTTTTTATCTGATAATGTAGACTTCTCTTGTAATAATAATTTTTTAAACAACAGAAATCTTTATTAATAACATGATAATTTATACAAATATATCACATAATTAGACTTTCAATTAAATCAGGAAAATAGAGAAACAGTTCACTATATTAGACAGATAGGTCCATTCTCTACACTTTGCATCAATAGTAGCTAATAAAAATTCAGTAAGTCTGGATTATTCCACGGCTTGTTTCTTCTGCAGTAAATGTAGAATGTTGCTCTCAGAGCTACCTCCATACATTTTTTAATAATACGTTCGTCGTTCATTTCAAGTGTTCGTAATAATCTACGAAATCTGTCAATATCTTTCGACACAAACCCTAGAGTGGTTACTTCAAGTGTAATAACTTCAAACGCATAACACCCCGTGATCATCTCAGATCTTAGATGTCTGTATCTTTCCTTCTTGCGACGTTTAGCCTTCGTACAATTGGTTTCGTATTGAACAGTTAATTCAACCACATATACAGAACCCTTAAAATCCACCACTATATCAGGTCTTAGCGTTCGAAATAAAGTTGAAGTACAGGTCGTACCTGAATTAGGACAGTCAGCAAACAGTCGAAGATGTGCACCAACTGCGACTTTTAAGTGATGAATAATAGTCGTCAGAATCGAGTCATGCCGCCAAGTATAGCGTTGTTGTTCTAGGGCTACCTTGCAGTTGGAAAAAACGTGTAGCTGGGTTTGTAACTTGTTGCACAGCTCACAGTTGGCGGAGTCACGAATGTTCCAGCGCTTTAGGTTAGAATTATTTCCTAAACTTAAAATTAACGCTCTCCTAGCAAAGCATACTATATTGCTGGGCATTCGAGTGACAATTTCGTGCCATACTTTAATCATCTTCTTATAGCAAGTATCAGTTAAGCAGGTAATGATCACGGATTGTTCTTTTAGTTCTACAAAGTTTGACCAAATTTCGTTAAGGTTTTTCTTTACCAGAATCTTCTTTGCAGCGTTTCTTAACATATATTGTTCAGAGATACTAGCAGCCTCCCGTTCAATAATATCATCAATGACGA